GTTTGCAGCTGTGACGTTTCTCAGTAAACATCATGGAAAAATTCGATAGTTTTTTCGACGTTTCTAAGGGGTGGGGGGTGGGGGGTGGAGGTCTCCAGAGAAACGAACATATGACGTTTCTCGTGGACAGAATCGATATGCGAGGCTTCCCTAAGTTATGGATGGTTGGGCCCTAGATGGAAATGTCAAGGGGAAGATTAGATACGATTTTCAGACCTAACCATGCAGGAGCACCCAGTTACAAAAAATGCATCTATAGACCCTCTGGCGGGAACCGAAACTCAAGTCAACAAGAAGCGTTACGTTTGCTTACAGAGGTTTGCTTGCAAGAGCTGCCAAAAGGAGTTCTTCGACTGTACATTAAAGCAAGACTAAATATGAACAATTCTATTTCAGAACCATCCTCAGAGATAAGAAAAACTAGTTCCATAATATTCTGACACTGCAGAGTATACAAGGAAAAGTGTTCTCTGCAATGTCTGAATAATATGAAACTAGTTTTGAAATGAGAAAGCTGGATATTATTGATAGGGATACAACTACGTGAAAAATACAAGGATTAATGGCTACTAACTTCACGACGAAGGACCTCAGCCAGAAACGACGAAGTTCTGCTTGTATTTTTCAGGTAGTTGTATCTGCAAAGGTAGTTGTATCCACAGCTTTCTTATTATTGACAAGATGAACAATTTCTGTATAAACCTGAGATAATATGATTAAAAATTGTACTTTATTTTCCGTGAAAGACATATACATATGTTAAGCTATCGATTGATAAAGTGCAGTCTACTTTTCTTGAAACACACCGGTGCTAAAGTATAATTCAGTATCAAAAAGTAAAATGTGCTTAGCCCCCCAAATAATGATTTGTCAATTAATGTTTTTACTTCTAACAACTGTATATCACTAGCTGTTTTTGACTTTAAAATAGTTTCTCCTGTTTGAGCAGAGATACATAGCAATACGAACAACACAATGGCTTCAACTGCAACAAAGGCTGGTTTAAAAAAATTGTTTGGGCATAACTTAGCTAAACGGGACAAGAAAATATGCAAAAACATTTTGATCATAACATGGCGTTGGAATCAGCATTTACATGTTGCTTGGAGAAACTTTGTTACTCGTATTACTTCACCCTCAGTCAGAAATCCCAGCTTAGGTAGAGAAATGCGTGGAATTTTACCTCTGAAAAAAACGATCTGATATAAATTTCCGAACAAACGTTATAGGCAAATGTCAGACATGAACATCTTTCCTTGTTAAAGGTAGAACTTCAGCAACTGCTGCGGACCTTTCTTTGTTCATGCTGGGAAGATACTTCCATGAAGACCCTCCCATTGTAAAACACTCCACTGAATTAAGATATCTATTATATTCATTCACACCTCCCATGACTACAATTGTACTTCCAGTAATAACTGCACAACAATCATATCTCTTCTCCAACATGGATGGTAAGGCTGTGATCTTGCCCGTCTTGTAGTCATACATGAAAACGTCATTCAAAATTTGATGATACTCATCACGACCTCCAAGTACAACTACTTGATCTCTCCAGCGAACTGTTGCCATTTCCTGCATGGGAAGTGATAATGATGGCAGCTCCTTACATTCATTCTTCTCTGGATCAAACTCCAACACACTGTCCAAAACATCACTATCACCATCTTCTCCCCCCAAAATCAAGACTTTATCTTCAAACGCCTCAGCGCCATGACAATATCGTGGCTGGGGCATTTGGCACAATTCTTTCAGTGCGCAAGGTGAGGTAAGTTGCAATTCACTAACCACGTTAGAATGTTTACGCTTGTCACGATTATGTCCACCAATGTGAATGACACGCTGTTGGTAAATAACAGTTTGATGACGATAACTTTGACAAGGAAGTTTGTCAGAAAATTCCACCCATTTCAAAGATAATTCATTGAGATCCAAGGTTTCTATTGTCTTAGTATGTCCCCCAACAACAAATGGCTGATTATTATAAATAAATGATGAAGCTCCGATATGTTCTTCATACATTTGCGAAATCTCATACCAAGCATTTTTCTCCCAGGAAAATATTTCTGCACTACGTTCCGCATTCCAGCCACCTGCAATCAATATATCTTCCCTAGGTGTATTGAGCATTCTCTCGGTCGGAGATGGCAGTTTGCTGAGCAGTTCAAGCATATTAAACTTCTCTAACATTTGACTCATCATGACTTTCACGTCGTCCACATCTTTGTTCACTTTTGAGAGAGTTTCTTTCATAGCTCTCATTTCTTTCTTAACTTCGTGTTGGTCTTGTTTCATTTCATCATGGTGGTTCTTTATTGCTTCTACCTTTTCGTTGATCCTCTTATTCATTCCAACTAAACTGCCTTCTAATTTCCCGACAATCTTTTTCATTTCAGCATGGTTGTTTTCCGTTTTTTTCTCCGCAGTTTGCACTTTCCCGTCCAGTTCCATCAATGTTTCTTTCAATGTTCCCACAACTTCCCGTGTCTGTCCACAATCATGACATTTCACTTTCCTATATCCACATACTTCAGTCTCGTGATGGACCTTGTCTTGCTTGTTAATCTCCATGCCACAATTTTCATTTGAACAAAACACAGGAGCAAACTCGCAATTGGCAACATGAGTTTTGAGAGCTTCAACACAGGTAAACTCAGGACATCCCCGACTGGCATAATCACAATTAATCTTCAGTTTAGACAAATAATTATTCAACACACGGGGCCGACGAAGCGTATCGACGCTCAAATGTTCATTGCATTCGGGGCAAGTTTGAGAATTTACTTTCAGATGTTCACTGATGCAGGCAAGACAAAAGATGTGTTCATTATTTCTACACATCCTTGGTTCTTTAAGAACATTGTAGCAGATCGAGCAATGAAAGTTTTCGTCGACATCTTTCTCAAACCTGTTATCGTCGTAGCCATATTTCTCTTCCGTTGGGCAACAAGCCATTATTTACAGTTGACAAAACCTTGCTCTGCTTTCCATTGTAACGGAATAGATGTACTAAAGAGATTTCTTTGTAAGGTTTATCTTACATTGTAAAGAAACTATATCAAAACCAGGAAACAGAAGAGGAGGTTTGAAACACTTTTGCTTTCGCTGTGGTCTGATTTTGCAATAACAAACCTTGATTATACAACAAATACTTGGAAATTTGACATTATAGGATCATAGGAAGTGACATCACTTCACTACTTGTTTTAATATTTCCCATGCACAATTTGATGCCTATACATAATTTCTAAGCTGATGCCCGAGTTAAAATTCTCTTTGAAATATGAATAGTACTACTCCAGCTTTATGTATGAAATGGAAATATGCTCATGATTGTGTTTAATAATTGATGAAGAAAACGCAAAGTAAATAATGACTATGAAGGGGCTTGACACCTGCAAAATCCTGCTGATTTAAATTCATTTTTCATATTTTGTACCGCAGCAAGTAAACATGCATGCTGTGTATATAGTTACAAGAAACACGTACGCAATTTACACACGAGTTACATCTAATACGAGTAAAAAATTCTCATTTCCGTTCAATGATAACTTTAAGATTGAAATAATGATCGGAATTTTAATTGTGGCGATAATAGCCCAGAATAAAAACACACAGAAGATCGACTCGGCCACAGATTATATAATAACCTAGTTGCATAATATTCTGACACTGCAGAGTATACAAGAAAAAGCGTTCTCTGCAATGTCTGAATAATATGAAACCAGGTTTTAAATGAGAAAGCTGTGGATTGATAGGGATACAACTGCAAGTTAATGGCTACTAACAACTTGTAACAAGCTTGCTGGCATTATCAGCCTTGTTACAAGACTATGCTGACAAGTTTGTTACAGCCATGATATAACGAGGATGTTACAAGGTTGTCCACACAAGGTTGTAACAATCCTAATTGTTATCTCAAGCATGTAACGGACTTGTCAGAACAACCTTGCAACAAGTCTGATGATTTCGACAAGATTGTTACAAGTTGTCAACAAGTTGTTCGAAACCTGTTGACAACTCGGGACAAGCAGTGCGAATACATTGACAGTTTGTTGGCAGACTTGTTACAAGATGTGAGATTTTTGCGTGTGTATGTCCGTGTGTTTTTGAGGACTGTCTTGGAAAGCTGTTTCTAGTCCTCCTTATTTTTCACACTGCTCGGTTTCCTTTGTTCTTATCGGGGAATATATTAAATATTCCCCTCTAATAATCCTCTCCAATATTCACCTGCAATGTCTTTGCAGCACAAAAAAATGAGAAAAAACAACATCACGAAGGCAATATAGCATTAAGAACTTTTTCTATTCTGACTTAGTTCATATTTGTGCGGATATCTATTGTTCTCAATAGGGTTTTATTTGGGTAAGAATCTAAAAGCAAGGGGAGGGATTTGACATCTCCACAGGGAAAAGCGGGGTTGATGAATAGAATTGAATGCCTAATTAAAAATGCAAGGTATCTAACTCCATAGTGACCCTTTTGGAGGTCACTATGGAGTTAGATACCTTGAATTTTTAACCAAACTCAAACCCCACATCTCCTTTTCGACTAGAAAACGCTGCACACGTCTCTGAGTCGAGAAAGAGACAACAGCCGTGTACCTCAAAGCCCGTCAAACTCTACCTTTGGGTAGAATATTTATCATTCGGCGCACGAGGACTAGCTGAACCGACCATCAAACTTGCTTGTGCAAGGAATTTATACAGTAATATCTGCTCTTTCGCTTGTGGGACGCGAAATGATATACTACGCATGCTCAACCACATTAAAGCGTGTTTAATGCGCATGTTCAACCTTATTTCGTCCCACAACCTCCCAAGGACAATAGAAAATGGTCGGTCTTTCATTGAAATTCAAGTCTCGGCGCTGCACGCCTCGGTCTTGAATTTCAATGAAAGACCTCCCATTTGGTTTTTATCCTGCAAATAAAACCCTGTTGAGAACAACTTGAGAATCTCTGCTTCGACAAACCCGTACAAATCTTCGTTAGCTCTTCTCGGTTGTATGAGCTATTTCAAACATATTTCATCGTAATTGTGGTTGGTAAACGAATATTTAATCACTTCTCATTGATAGTATACAGTAGTGCGACACGAGAATTGATGCATATCAAAATAGCCCTGTTTGTTTTTATTACAACCATGGTAATTCAAACTCATTTAAAGAACAATACATATCATAAAGTAAATTTCATTGTGGGTCAATCCTTACAAATATGAACTAAGTTAGTTAGATACCTCAAACGTCGGCTCTTAGTCAGATAAATCCCTCGGGGCCTACGGCCCCTCGGGTTTGTATCTGACTAAGAGCCTCCGTTTTCGGTATCTAACTCTTACTCATTAACGCGACCTCGCAATGTGAAAAAATAAGTAAATTGAACGTGAAATTATCTAAAATGAGCTCAACTTGTCAATCTTCGTCTTAGTGAGACAATAAGAACGTCCATTAAACATGGTTCAACCATAACCACTGAACGGAGATCATTCGTAATCAAAAGTTTTACGAAACAAATAGCTTGCAGCAGACTCGCGTTGCTTTTGGATTGATCATGATTAACTTTGCATAATTAATGTTTTTCAATTCCCAACGGTGGAAGAATGTGAATTCGACGGGCAATTTTTATTTGACGAGTATGTGCCCATTTCTCATCGTTACGATTTAAAAAAGGTATCATTGAAAAACTAAATAACTGTTCTTTCATCCTATGTAGAAATATAATTGTTTAGCCACGTTTATGATGCACTACAGCCTGTTGAATTTCCATAGCGTTTCTTTTTAGACACCCTGTACATTGGTTGTTTAAGACTTCCATGATTCTTTTCAGCTCGTTCCATGTTGCCTTTTCCCTTCTTTCTTTTAGTGTGGGGAGGGTATCTTTCTCCAGTCCCTTCTTCGTTGAACGCGTTCAATTTATATTATTCGAGATATTTCGGGATTTCTCTTCTGACTGACGAAGCGTATTCAAGTATTGCCTATTGGCTTAATTGCCTAAAATCTTTGGCGGGTATGTCTGTCCAATCCCGGGTGGTAGGGAGGATTTCCTACATTCTCAGAAAAGGAATAGTACTTTATTCGGTTTTTTGGCTTCGAGAAAGAGAAAATGTTGAGGAATATCCTATTAAACGTTTTCGAAAATCACGAAGCTGCGAGGAAGAAAAAGAAATGCTAGTAAATGTAGTTGACATTGACTGATGCATTATTTTTACAACGGAAAAATTTGGTATGCATGCGCTCTCAAGAGCATCGTCAATTTATACGGCTTTATAATAAAAAATACCACCACAAGTGGCGAAGCTAGCTTGGATTAACTTGTCATGCAAACGAGCGCCGAAAGCGCAAGGTATGCTCAGGGGAGTCCGGGGGCACGCCTCCTTGGAAAAATTTTGAAATGTAGACTCCCAGAAACGCTATTTGCAGCAATTTGATAATAAAATTTCAGGAAATAGCTTGACCTAATGAAGGAAAAAATTTGGATATTTTAGCATATTTCAGACAACAATGAAGAATGACACAAAAATAGGAAAACCCCATTCACAATATTTAAATTTTGACTGTTTCGCTCAATGTCAGAGCTCATCAGCATGTCTCGGACAGCTCGAATCAAGCAGCCAGACATGAACAGTCAAAGCCTGCCGCTTATTTAGTTATTTGTTTTTTTTGTTGATATTTTTATAAAGCCTCTGCTCTCCCCCGCCACAATTAAATGAGTATCTCCCCAACTATTACGAAAATAGGACAGAAATTATAATTCAGCCTAAAGTTGTCTTCGCACCCAAGTTGTCAACAAGTTTGGAACAAACTGTTAACAACTTGTAACAACCTTGTTGATATCATCAGACTTGTTGCAAGGTTGTTGCAACAAGTCCGATACAGTCATGATAAAACAATATTGTTACAATCTAGTTTGTGTCATCAACCTTGTAACATTCTTGTTATATTATGACTGTATCAGACTTGTTAGTCTGTTAGAACATCTTTGCTCCAAGTCCGAAAATGCCATCAACCTTAATTGTTCCAAGTTGTTAACAGCTTGTTCCAAACTTGTTCCCACAACTGGGAACAAGCAGTGCAAACATAACTTGTTGACAGCTTGTGAACAGATTTGTAACAACTTGTTTGCAGACCTGTTACAACTTGTGCGTTTTTACATGTGTAAGAACTAATCAATCACAAAGACAAATCCCCCCTCCCCCCCACCTTCAGAAAAAAAGCTATGTAACAACAACAAAATTAATTTGCAAACAATGCCTCAAATTTACTACAATTAAAGCTACTACATTCATCAACAGCCGCTAAATAAATAAATACAAATATAAAGTTTTCTATCCTAATGAGAAAAAGGACCCACCACCAGGAGATTTGAGTACACGAGATGAAGGTCGCAACGGCTGGTCGTCATCAACTTGTCCTCTAAAGATACAAATTGTATGGAAGGAAGCTCTACAGCTCCCCAAATAAATACTCGCTAATAAAGTTTTTGCTTCTAACAATGGTAAACTTTTACTAGTAGTTTTTGACTTTAAAATAATTACATTAATTAATTTCCAGTATTTTCGCTTGTTTGAGCCAAGCTAACAATGGACATACAAAGAAAAACCTTCTGCTGGTTTTGTTTTGTTTTGTTTTCTGATTTTTGGTTTTGGTTTCGCCTTCTGAAGGTTTTTCATACAAAGAAAAACCTTCTTATTATATTGGTAATATTATTGTTATGTAAGTTCTAACAATTGTATATCACTAGCAGTTTTTGACTTGAAAATAATTTGTCCTGCTTGAGCCAAGGTACATTGTAATACGAACAACACAATGGCTTCAACTGCAACAAAGGCTGGTTTAAAGAAATTGTTTGGGCATAACTTAGCTAAACGGGACAAGAAAATATGCAAAAAACATTTTTCTTGCAACACGGTGTTGGAATCAGCTTTTGCATGTTGCTTGAAGAAACTTTGTTATTCGTATTACTTTACCCTTAGTCAGAAATCCCAATTTAGGTAGAGATATGCATGGAATTTTACCTCTGAATAAAATGATATTATATAAATTTGCGTACAAACGTTATTAAATGTCAAACATACACATGTTTCCCTGTTGAGGGTAGAACTTCAGCAACTGCTTCAGACCGTTCGTTATTCATGCTGGGAAGATATTTCCATGTGAAACCTCCCATTGTGAAACACTCCACTGAACTGAGAGGATCATAATCTTCATTCCTACCTCCCACGACTACAATTGTATTTCCAGTGATAACTGCACAACAATAATATCTAATCTGCAACATGGATGGTAAGACTGTGATCTTGCCCGTCTTACAGTCATACATGAAAACATCATTCAGAACTTGACCATCCTTTTCACGACCTCCAAGTACAACTACTTGATCTCTCCAGCGAACTGTTGCCATTTCTTTCAGAGGATGTGGTAATGATGGCAGCTCCTTACATTCATTCTTCTCTGGATCAAACTCCAACACACTGTCTAAAACAACATTATCATCACCTACTCCGCCCAAGATCAAGACTTTACCTTCAAAGGTTTCAGCGCCATGACAATATCGTGGCTGGGGCATTTGGCACAACTCTTTCAGTGTGCAAGGTGAGGTAAGTTGCAATTCACTAATCACGTTAGACTCTTCCTCGTAATAATTACATCCACCAATGTGAATGACATGCTGTTGGTGAACAACAGATTGATGACCAATACTTTCATAACGAAGTTCGTCAGAAAATGTCATCCATTTCAAAGGTAATTCATTGAGATCTAAAGTTTCTATTGTATTAGTACCCTGTCCCCTAACAACAAATAGCTGATCATTATAAATAAATGATGAAGCTCCCGCATGACGTTCATTCATTTGCAAAATCTCATACCAACCATTCTTCTCCCAGGAAAATATTTCTGCACTACATCCCGAATCGCGGCCAGAGCCACCTGCAATCAAAATATCTTCGTTTAGTGTATTAAACATTCCCGCGGTAGGAGATGGAAGTTTGTTACGCAATTCAAGCACATTTAGCTCTTCTAACATTTGACTCATCATGACTTTGACTTCGTCCACGTCTTTGTTCATTTTTGAGAGATTTTCTTTCATAGCTCCCATTTCTTTCTTAACTTCATGTTGGTCATGTTTCATTTCATCATGGCTGTTCTTCGATGCTTCCACTTTTTCGTGGATCCTTTTATTCATTCCCACTAAGCTTCCTTCCAATTTCCCCAGAATTCTTTTCATTTCAGCATGATTAGTCTCCATGTTTTTTTCCACTTCTCCCACTTTCCCGTTCAGTGCTATTAGACTTCCTGTCAACGTACCGATATCTTCCTGTATCTGTCCAAAATCATGATATTTCACTTTCCTATATCCACAAATTTCAGTCTCGTGATGGACCTTGTCCTGCTTATTAATCTCCATGCCACAATTTTCATTTGAACAAAACACAGGAGAAAACTCGCAACTGGCAACATGAGTTTCGAGACCTTCAACACAAGTAAACTCAGGACATCCTCGACTGGCATAATCACAATTAATCTTTAGCTTAGACAAATAGTTATTGACTAAACGTGGTCGACGAAGCGTATCGACGCTCAAATGTTCATTACATTCGGGGCAAGTTTGAGAATTTACTTTCAGATGTTCACTGATGCAGCCAAGACAAAAGACGTGTTCATTATTTCTACACATCCTTGGTTCTTTAAGAACATTGTAGCAGATTGAACAATGAAAATTTTCGTCGACATCTTTCTCAAACCTGCTATCTTCGTAGCCATATTTCTCTTCCGTTGGGCAACAAGCCATTAATTTACAGTTGACCGCAAAACCTTGCTCTGGTTTCCATTGTAAGAATAGATATACCAATGATATTTCTTTGTAAGGTTTATCTTACATTGTGTGGCAAATACATCTAAACCAAGAAACAGACGAAGTTTTGAAACACTTCCGCCTTCGCTATGGTCTGATTTTGGTATTTTGCAATAAGAAAACCTTGATTATGCAACAAATACTTGGAAATATGATATCATGTTCGAAGGTCATGACATCACTTCACTATTGCTGGTAATTTCTACGATACCCGAGTCAAAGCGGTCTTTCGAATATGAATAGTACTACTCCAGCTTTATGTATGAAGAACAATTATACTCACGTTCTCGTTAATAATTTATGAAGAAAACACAAAGTAAATAAGGACTAAATAAGGAAGGGCATAATGTCTGATGCAAAATCCTGCTGATTTAAATTATTTTTTCTCACAAAATGTCATTTGTGTCTTTCAGATTATTGAAGGTCTTGAAGAATATTATAAAGATGAATGACAAGCTATTTACGGCAGTAGCGTGTGTGCTGCATAAGGACATACAACCACTCGCCTTCGGCTTGTGTATGCATATTTTGTACGGCGAGTATACATGCTGTCACAGTTAATATACTACAAAAAACACGTACTCAATTTATACACGACTTACATGTACTAGCGAGTACAAATTCTTATTTCAGCTCAATTCAACGATAATTTTAGGGCTGAACAGGGGCCGGTTGTTCAAAGCTGGGTTAGTTTAACCCTAGGTTATTAAACCTAAAATTCAAAGCAAATTCCTGACAGCTTGTCTATAAATTTGGAAATATTTCTTCAGAGATCTTGTCTGGATCCATAGGAGTTTACTTCTCTGAAGTTTTGAAATAAACAGACGTGCAGAAATACACAAACTAAGACAGCAGGTTAAATTTTAACCCAGGGTTAGCACTAACCCACCTTTGAACAACCGGCCGCAGGCGATAAGATGCGTGATATTCCGCCTTCGAGGTGGACAACCTGCAAATCAGGCGTGGCGAAGGATATTGGCTAAACAACAGACCGAGAGAACGATACATTTGTTTTCATGATTTCTATAGGGAGAACAGATTGTAGTAAAGATTTTTAGCTATGCTAAGCTATATTAGCATATACTCGGGAGGTGGATAGTGCTTTTTGCGCAATTTCATTGGTTGATCAGCTCGAGATATCCTCGCGCTCGGCACCTCCCGATAAAAACAAAATGACTTCCCGTTTCATTCCTGTTACATACGAGCACATTTTTGTACATTTATATGCATTGCGGTTTTGGCGTATATTAAAACAACATACCTTCATACACATAGTTTACTCTGGGTATATATACCATTTGGTCATAACCGTCGCGCAAATCATGTCAAACTGAATATGAAACAGTTTGAATCTCGGCGTTGACTTTTGTACACTGTATGCAAATCATTATTTACTTAATGCAGAGGTATGCAGCAGTGCCGTAGGATATTTTAAATTCGGGGTGGGGGCTAAAATTCGAGCAGGGCACTGTTAAAACTAGGGGGACATGGGGCATACTTCCCAAGGTAAATTTCAAGAAGGGAGAAGGCAATGCTATTATGCTATACTTGCTGGCTCAAATTGAAGAATTTATACAGCAAAAAACCTCCACCCCAAAGCGCGTCCGGGTACGTTGGAGCTTGCGGCAAAGTGGTTTTTACAAAATGCTTACTTGTTTTATAGTGGCAAATCACAAGCAAGTGCCGGATAGATTCTGCTGTTAAATTTACCTGTTTGGACATGATTGAAACATTTAATTAGGAAAAAATAACAACAGCGCTAACTGATGCAAATAAATAAACACGCCCAGCATGTTTTCCGCGCTTAGAGTACAAGGTTTTGCACTTCAGCACTGTGAATTTTTCATTTGGTCTACCTTGAGAGAACAACGTTAATTAATGTATTTATTTTATCTTATCGCCAACCTTGATGTGTGGATAACTAAACAGAGACCGAGGTTTACTATAGAATGTCAAGTATTCATGCATATTGTTGGATTGAATTGCAGAGAATTGGATTGTCTTATAACTACATATCAGGGTAACCGATACTTAATAAAATTTCATACAGCAAACAAAACACAAAATATATTGACAGATTATTTGACATTACGGAATTGCCCATTCTCGTACCCAGAGCCCTTCATACGCGCGGTGCGACGAGGGGCTCTGGGTACAAGAATGGCAATTGCCACGACTACACAACGCCCGGTTAATTATAATGCAATCATAGTTATCAGGCTCCGATCACACGGGGGACTGATGAACTGAGCACAGGATTGGTAAGGTTTTGCATTCATTTCAAGAAAAGTTGATTTATTTTGGTGTAATGAATGTTTTCATTCTTGCAATAACAAAAATATTTTCATTCGGTGACTGCCGACTGGAATGGAAATTTCCATCTTTCACCTCATGAAAATATTTTTACTATTACAATCATAAATATTCATTATTTTCATGGTGTATTACATCTCTGGTCCGGACCCAAGGATTATGTCGATTAATTAACAAAAGAAGGGGTCTTGTAGCTGGAAATGTCAAGCAGAAGATTATATACAACATTCAGACCTAACCATACAGGAGCATCCAGTTGCGAAAAATGCAACTATAGGTCCTCTGGCAGCAATCGAAACTCAACAAGAGGCGTTTGCTTACAAGAGCTGTCAAAAAGAGTTCTTCGACTATATATTAAAGCAAGACTAAATATGAACAATTCTATTTCAGAACCATCCTCAGAGACAAGAAAAACTAGTTCCATAATATTCTGACACTGCAGAGTATACAAGGAAAAGTGTTCTCTGCAATGTCTGAATAATATGAAACTAGTTTTGAAATGAGAAAACTGGGGATTGATAGGGATACAACTACGTGAAAAATACAAGGATTAATGGCTACTAACTTCACGACGAAGGATCTTCGCCAGAAACGACGAAGTTCTGCTTGTATTTTTCAGGTAGTTGTATCTGCAAAGGTAGTTGTATCCACAGCTTTCTTATTATTGACAAGATGAACAATTTCTGTAGAAACCTGAGATTATATGATTAAAAATTGTACTTTATTTTCCATGAAAGACATACATACATATGTTAAGCTATCGATTGATTAAGTGCAGTCTACTTTTCTTGAAATACACTGGTGCTAAAGTAATTCAGTGCCAAAAAGGAAAATGTGCTTATAGCCCCCAAAATAAGGACTTGTCAATTAATGTTTTTAATTCTAACAATTGTGTATCAATAGCAGTTTTTTTTACTTTAAAATAATTTACATAGCAATACGAACATGTCACAATGGCTTCAGCTGCAACAAAGGCTGGTTTAACGAAATTGTTTGGGTATAACTTAGCTACAGTGTAAGGGACAAGAAAATATACAAAAACATTTTAATCATATAACATGGCGTTGGAATCAACTTTTGCATGTTGCTTCAAGAAACTTTGCTATTCGTATTACATTACCCTCGGTCAGAAATCCCAGCTTAGGTAGAGAAATACGTGGAATTTTACCTCTGAACAAAACGATCTAATATAAATTTGCGGACAAACATTAAATGTCAAACTTACTCATATTTCCTTGTTGAGGGAAGAACTTGAGCAACTCCTCCCCACCTTTTCTTACTCATGTTGGGAAGATACTTCCATGTAGAACCTCCCATCGTAAAACACTCCACTGAACTGAATCTATCATCATCATTCTCACCTCCCATGACTACAATTGTATTTCCAGTAATAACTGCACAACAATAATCTCTCTTCTCCAACATGGATGGTAGGGCTGCGCTCTTGCCCGTCTTGCAGTCATACATGAAAACATCATTCAGAACTTGATCATCCTTATCACAACCTCCAAGTACAACCACTTGATCTCTCCAGCGAACTGTTGCCATTCTCTTCATGGGATGTGGTAATGATCGCAGCTCCTTACATTCATTCTTCTCTGGATCAAACTCCAACACACTATCTAAAACATCATTATTATCATCCATTCCTCCCAAGATCAACACTTTATCTTCAAAAGCTTCAGCGCCATGACAAGTTCGTGGCTGGGGCATTTGGCACAACTCTTTCAGTGTGCAGGGTGAGGTAAATTGCAATTCACTAATCATGTTAGAGTCTTTACAATCGGTATCATTATAACCACCAATGTGAACAACACTCTGTTGGCAAACAACAGTTTGATGATAATAACTTTGATAAGGAAATTCGTCAGAAAATTCCATCCATTTCAAAGGTAATTCATTGAGATTCAAGGTCTCTATTGTCTTAGTATACGGTCCCCCAACAACGAATAGCTGATCATTATAAAAAAATGATGAAGCTCCTTCACGTTCTTCAATCATTTGCGAAATCTCATACCAACCATTTTTCTCCCAGGAAAATATTTCTGCATTTTGTTTCGCACCCAAGCCACCAGCAATCAAAATATCTTCCCTAGGTGTATTGAACATTCCCTCGGCTGGAGATGGCAGTTTGCTGAGCAGTTCAAGCATATTAAACTTCTCTAACATTTGACTCATCATGACTTTGACTTCGTCCACGTCTTTGTTCACTTTGGAAAGATTTTCTTTCAAATCTTTTATTTCTTTCCTAACTTCAGCATTGCTGTCTCTCACTGTTTTCACTTGCCCATCCAGTTCTAATAAGCTTCCTTTTAATGTCCCCATATCTTCCTGTATCTGTCCACAGTCATGACAGTTCACTTTCCTATATTTCCTAGGGCCAAATAAAAATAATTGTTGGTTTCAGGTTTCACAGCCATGTTTTATATGGGTAGGTAGGTTGGAAAAGCATTTTATTTTAAAAATATTTTATCTCAAGTATGCAATAACGGGATCACCCGCAAGCTACATGTGTTTCGTGAGAAATAAACACATCAAGGCGTTTTCGTCTTTTTTCAGCAGTAGCTGCAATGTCAGAATAATGTACGTTTCTAATATTTTATTCAACTGTTTCTTGTGTAAAACTATGATTAACATGACTAGATAATGATTAAATTATAAGCAAACAAAATAATTTGTAGACAAATGAGTCTGATGACTATTTACGATAAGATGATCTCTACTGGAAAATGTCAATAAAATGTTTATGGTCGGTCATATTTTTGACAGGTCAGTCGGAAATCTGGAACCAACTATTACTTTTATTTGGCCTAGAGGCAAAAGACATGTTAATTATTTCTACACATCCTTGGTTCTTTAACAACATTGTACCAGATCAGGCAATGAAAGTTTTCGTCAACATCTTTCTCAAACCTGTAGCCTGCAAGCAGGCTCTCAAGGTGAAATGAGAGCCTGCACTGATCGCATACAATTTTGAATATCTGTGTCTCGAATCGGGACGCAAAATTCTCATTGGTCAGATGCTATAATTTATATGTTTCCACTGAGCTCTATATATTATGTCTGACTCAACTGCTGAAGCACTGATGCATAAAAAAACACATCAATTGATCAAATTGGTCTTGGCCATCTTTTTAAACTGTACGGTCTAAATTTAGTTTGCACGAAAGTTGTAAACAACACCATATAAGGATAGACATTCCATATTTGGAAAAACAAATGTTACTGGGCAGGTATTCAAAATTGTATGTCATCAGTGCAGGTTCTCATTTCACTTTGAGAGCCTGCTCGCAGGCTATCAAACCTGCTATGTTCGTAGCCATATTCCTCTTCTGTTGGGCAACAAGCCATTATTTACAGCAGACAAAACTTTGCTCTGATTTCTATTGTAAGAATAGATATAATGCTAAGTTGCTATAAGGTGACGACAACTTGTTGGCAAATTGTTGAATTGCAAGACGACATATGATAAACAAGACAACAAGTTGTTAGAACAACTTGTAACAATTCTGTTGAGCTCAACAACCTTGTAGCAAGTTGTCAACAACCCTGATTGGAATCGAGGCACGTTCCGCCACATATCTGTGGCGTATAGACTTAGGACATTTATTTCCACCGGGATAATTTTAAATGAGATCCTTAGATGTGGCGTAAAAAACTGCATCAATATTAATAATAGCAATAAAAGTAACAGTATTTTGTGACATGTGAACATCATTTATACTATTATATAATATAAACGCGATGTATTACAGTTATTACCGTGCTCATGCAGCTATATAGCACAATATCTCGAACAACGTCGGTGAGTTTTATATTTTTTTAGCCTGGCGTACAAAAATCGATACATATTTTCTTGTCGTAAAATATGTGGCAGCCATGCTGCATCGATTCCAACCTGGTCAACAACAAGAAGCTGTGATACTGGGAACAAATCCTGTTGACAAGTTGTTGGAATAGCATTGCTACAAGTCTGCTGCAGCCTGCAGGTTTGTTACAACTTGTCAAACTTGCAAGTTTTTACCTGTGCAGGCGCCTGATCTTAAAGACCATGTCAAGTCCGTACACACATACATACACACATTCTGCGCATCAGTTCTGCTCATAACAAAAGGGGACCCACAATATAAACCATACATGTAGACATAGGTCTCCTATATATATGATATAAACATTGCCCAAATTTTGCATCTTTCGAACTTTTTTGAATTGAAACGTACTCTAGGGGCTATTCCATTTAATATACCCCCCCCCCCCCCTATGGACGAGA